TTTATCAATAACTCAGTTTGTTCCAGTGCAATGTTTTTCTTATTTTTTGAGAAAATTTATATGAATGTTTACCGTGTTTGATAGTCTCTCATTTAATTTATTTAATTTAAAATATATAAACTCTGTTTATTTCTTTGTTGTTCCATACTTGTTGTTGACTATCAGCCTTAGTGGTTCGCCTTCTTTGTGTATCTTCGGTAATCCGTATGCTGTTGGTGGTCGTGCATCCTTTATTATGATTGAATTTCTTGTCCATGCATCAATGTACCCATTCCTCTGCATATCTTTTAGCATAGCACTTAGAATTCCATTGATCCTTATAGTTGGGTCCTTGTTTAGTATACGCTATCTGATCCTGTCTCGTAGAATATGTTCTATCTTCTCGGTATATTGTTTTTTGGCTCATTTTTTGTCCGCATAAAGGACTAATTGTTCATTCGTTTCCAGGGTTTTGCGTATCACGGCAAATCTGTTCGTGTGTGGAGACTCCTGATGTGTCAGGATCTTTGTAATTACTTCCATCTCTATTTCCCGTTTTGTCTACTTGGAGAACTTGTCGACGATATTGATTCTGTTATGTTGAATTGAAAAATTGAGTCCTTTTTACAGACACGCAGTTGTTTCGGGATTGAAAGGAATTGATGATAAGTTAGTACTTTCTTCCGATCCTCGTGCTGATCAGTAGGTGTTGTCACCTCGGAAGCCACTTTAACTGGGCGTTTTAGCTTTAACTTAGGTTTCTTATAATCCCAAACTTACGCAATTTATCATCATGCTGTTTATCTATTAAGGCAGAAATCCTACTTGATTTCCTGTCGGTCATGCTCTGGAGTTTTGTAAATCTTTAGGAGAAAGGATCCTGCCTAAATCACGCCGGATCTTTGACTTATTATCTATAAACTAGAACAACCTATAACGTTCTGTATCATAGGTCTCACTTAATTTCTGAATAAAAGCCTATTGGAGATACACATTAACCTTATCCGAGTGGTAAGGTCTCTTAAGGTTGTAGAACTTAGGAGTGATACCATAACGTTTACAACAATTTAAAAAAGTAAGATTAGGAGATTGAATTACAAAAATCTATAATAATAATGAGTTTGCGTATAGCAGATCTAAACCATAGGAACAAGAGAATGTTAGATTGAGGAATATGCTGCTCAAAAACAATTATTCATTAGCATTAGTAGACGATTCCATATCGCTAGTCGTTAACAAGATTAGGGGAGTTTGCTATTAGAGACGGGATAGATAGGTGGACAATTCTACTCGGTTACTCGGAGTTTATAGAAATTAACAAGACAGCCAACGTCCTGAATAGGAGAACGAGTGTAGAAAACTAAGTAGGGACATTTTGTGGCTGCTGGATTGACTTAAGCAAAGGGGGAGAGGAGTGCAACTGAAAGCCACCGAGAGCCACTTAGCAAGAGAAGGAGGCTGGATTAGCCTCGAGTCTAGCTAGGACTATCACACTTCCCATGACACAATTGACAATAGCCCAAGCCTAAACATTATTCAAAATTAGACGATCGTACGCTAATTCTTTTCTGCAATGAAGCATCTGCCACCAAACACACTTCCGGTTCTAGAAGTTAACTTAACTCATCTACAAGCATGTAGAGTAAGGCTTAAGTGGCCAATCAAATCATGGGATGCCTCATTAAGGCCGCGATGTTAGGTGTATATAAAAGCAACTAGGGTTGCAGCCTGCCACCTTTTCTCTTGGTTAAATATATTTATCCTTTATTTAGTAAAGTATGGATACCTGTTCTATTGATGTCTGTCAGGGTGGTACAGACGGAAGCTTAGTTCAGTTTCATTGGGGTCGCAGGACGGTCTTCTCTACGCAGAGATCCTCCTTTGGTTTTACTGTGAGATCACATGACGAATTCCTTCCAACTAACTTTCCCTTCGGAATGGATAGTTTTGCTACAATGAAATTTAGTGTCTTTAATTTTTTTAACCATAAATATTTAAAAAATGAGCATTTTTAAATGGACTTGTTGGAGCCGTATTCGAGGGAGAAGATGGAAAGGGATTAACTAGCCAAATTTATCTCTACATGTCTCAGAAGAAACCAATAAGCTTGTCAGGCAAGGCCACATCAATTTGAAGAATTTCCCTTCAAGCCATAACATCTAATTTAGAATGACCCTCTACATGTTAATACCACAAATGAATTTCTTATCTACGGAATCTACATCAGCTCAAAATTGTACCTTCATTTGCATAAGGCTACAGGTCTAATTCTAAGGTGAAATCCTTACTATAACTAGAGCGGTAATTAGACGTATAAAGGAAGATAAGTAGTAAGTTTTTCCATAGACATTCGAGTTAGCAACGATAACTTAAGTGAGAAGTAAATGGCTCTGTTGCTGAGCTAATCAACAAGCCAAAATTAATATGAACTCTACTCACTCTATGTATATATTAACTGCAAGAATTTATAAAAAATTAAGATAATGAACTTATTAAAAGATTGGGGGTTTCTTAACAGCTAAGAAAAGATAAAAAATAAGAGTTACCAATACAGCTATTTCAGGGTATATTATTTTAAATATTGTAAAATTAAAAGAAATACTGGAGATAGAATGTGAAAGAGCTCATAATTATGCCTAGGTATCGAATTCATAGAAAAAGGGTGAAAATGATATAAAGGAAAAGCCTGTTTAGGTGCGATGGAGATCAGGAATCGGCAATAGAAACGCTAAAAGCCAAAAAAGTGAAAATCATAAATTGTCAAAGGATTTATGGGACTGTCCAAGTAATCAAAAAAACTACATGTTAAGCACATTAAAATAGGCGTAAATATACAGTTAAAAGATTGTAGGAATTACCAAGACAATCTGTTCCGCGCTAATTTCAAGTGCAGGCGCTAACAAACGTTCCCAGAGCCAGATGACAACCTCCTCACCAACATAACGTCGTAACGAACGACTAGAGCCATCATCTTCATGAAATAAATGCCCATCTCGACCAGTAGATACAGCAACACTTGTACGCAACCCAGTAACTGTCGTTGAAACCGTCGACGTAGTCGATGAAGTCGCTGGTGACCCAACAGCTGTTTCAGTCGCCAAGTGGCCAGCGGCCCGAGCAACGCCATGTAATACATAAAAACAGTTGGTAAGCCCTTCGACTTGATCACTGTCACTGAGGTTGTTTGTCAGAATTCTGACATTGCTAGAAGCGCATCCAGAAGTAGGCAACAGGCGATTGGAGGTAAGTACATCATGAATGTGGCTTACAAGACGATCGATACACTAGATTAAACGAATATTTCATTAAAAAAAGATCACAAAAAATGTTAAATAATTTAATATGCAAGTTAGTTGATAGATAAGGAAAGAAAAGCCAAATCTGAGATTTCTGATTTAAAAAATTTTTAGCGGGCAAGGGGACTAAGGGTTGGAAATATGAATATTTTAACAAAGATCGTGGATTATCGCACGATTTTCAATTTCGAAAGAAAAATTATTCGGAGGGAAATTGTGATATGATAACACCAGAAACAAAAGGAGGATTGAAGATATGAAGACCAAAATGGTGTGGCCTTTTGTGTGGTCGCAGTCTCCTTTTGGTGTATAGAAATTGTTTGACCTCATATTGGTAGAAAGGCTTAGAAGAACGCACCTAGTCCGGAGTCAATTGTATGCATGATCATTTCCAAAGTCGGACCATGGACGTGGTAAATTCCAAGACGTTTCGCCGGAATCGTCAGTGAGTCTTGCTATTCTTAGCACCACACTACAACTCGTCAGACTTCTATACAAAGGAGGATTGTTGTATTGAGAAGGAGTCCCCGGCTCACCGTCCTGCGACCCCGATGAACCGTGCCAAGTTTTCGTGACATGCATCATCCGAGCAAAAATATACTAAACCAAGAGAAATGTTGGCCGGCTGCAACCCTAGTCGCTATTTTATATACCTAACTTCACTATCTTAATGAGGCATCTCATGATTTAGTTGGCTACCTCAAACTTACTCTGCATACTTGCAGATAAGTGAAGTTAATTCACGAACTGAAGGTGTGTTTGGTGGCAGCTGTTTCTTTACACAAATAAAATAGCATAGGCTCATCTAATATTTACTCCTGTTTTTCTATGTGGTATCGTCTATTGTGTAAATGTAATGCCCGTTTAAAGAGAGGTGGAATAGTCCTAGCTATACTTGAGCCCAA